TCTTGATTTTTCTTAATTTCACCAAACTGATTAAATATAGGCTTCAAAAATTACTCCAAGGCTGGGTTAAGGTCTGTTTTTATGGATAACACTGAGACTGTCTTTTAAAATCTCCTATGGTGTTGATAAAATTTTAAAACATGTTCTTTGCAATGAGCACTCCATCATATTTTACTTGTGTATGTCTCTTTAATAGTAGACAAAGGCACTAGAACTATTTCCTTAAATTGTTCTCATTAGGCACACTTTATTGTAGAAATTTCTTTTATTAAATTGGATTTTGGAGAGTGCTTAAAGCTTAATGTTTATGGGGAATTTTCAAAGGAATTTGATTTTTAGTATTATTATTATTTTAGTTTCACATTTGATTTTAGTGTTCCGAAGGATGTCCCAAATAAGGCCTTTGAGACTGAAGTCTTTTATCTGCAGATCTGCCAAAACCTAATCTGTACAGAGTAGATGCATAGCCAGTTTCCTGGGTCTCAATCCTCTGCTAAAGAGATCTTTGAGCCGCTAGCTGGTAGTTAATTTTTCCTTTAATCCGTGCATTGGCTATAACTGCAATCTGATGTCATTTGTCATTTTGCAGTGGAATTACCATTTTAAAATCTCAGCCTTTCTGGATGACAGTGGCTGGAATTAGATATCCATGCAGTACAGCTTTCATAAGGTTCTTAAACTGTGAAGGGTGCTAAAACCCAGGACCAGTCCCATCAGGCATTAGTCATATCACAAACCAGAACTCTTATGTGGTCTCTTATGCAGAATGCGGAAATCGCAAGGATTCTTTCATGATTTAAAGCAGGATTCATATACTTAACCTGGGATTCACATACTCCCTAGGCATCTGTGTTTAGAATTAAAGGGTCCATGAACTTGATGTGGAAAAAAAATCCATATGTTGATTTTTTACCAATCTGTAGATGAAATTTAGTATTTTCTTTCCTTATAAATGTAGGCCAGAAACCACAATCACATTACCTATTGATAATACCATGATTCTGACTCTGATAGAAATTTTAGATATTTTCCTTTTATATTACAATTGTTACTGATATCACTGATATGTTGTAAGTTCTCCTTTACCCAGCTTGAGGGGGAAATCTAATTTGTAAAAACACACTGACTGAACTCAAGTTTTTATTCTTAAAGATACATACAAGAGAATGTAGCTTTTACTCTTGAACATTTAATATGGATCTAACAATATATCCAGAAGTTGACTCTGTGATGTGGGATGCTATAAAATATCATTTATTCTCCTACACTAAAGTCATGGTAATTATTGGACATACTGCAACACTTGAAATTTAATATTTCAATAAAGAATCACATATATCACAATATCAAATTCAAAATATATGTTGATAACTGTATTTCAATATAATTAGCTTGCAATCCCATTAGGGGTATATGGCACAGATTAGGTTAAGAGCCCCTAGAGAGTTGGTACAAAGGCGTGAACCGAGGTGAGCTGTGGTGTTTCTATGCACTGTGTTAAGTAACTACCCATACACAAGGTTGCCTATGTTGTAAGTTCTCTTTTATCCAGCTTGAGGGGGAAACCTAATTTGTAAAAACACACTGACTCAACTCAAGTTTTTATTCTTAAAGATGCATACAGGAGAATCTAGCTTTTACTCTTGAACATTTAATATGATCTAACAATATATACAGAGGTTGACGCTGTAACTTGGGACAGCTATTATCTTGAGATAATCACTCCTTTCTTTTATTACTCATTGGTGAAAGCATTTATTTAAAAGAACATAACCTTAAAATAGAAATAATTCAGGAAAATTATGTGTATCAGTTAGGATTAAGACCTGCTGCATATAATTGAAAACCCTAAATCACAGTAGCTTAACCAAAATAGATATTTATCTATTTTTTTGTAAAAAAAAAAAAAAAAAAAAAGCAGTT